CTGCACGCAAAACCGATGCATGACGAACGGAGTCATCAGTCCTAAGTGCTGGGCCTACAAGGAGAGAGTTATTAATGGGGTGGGGAGGGTGGGAAGAAAAAGCATGTGAAGAAAGAAAGGAGGCGTCAGCAGTAGTCTGTTTTCGCTTACCCGCCCTGCTGTATGCAGCAAGTAAGGCGACCCGGCTGATGGCACTACGCAACGGCCGATGTGGCATGAGTTTATTTGTGTATGTGCAATTCATGGTTGCGTGTCCTGGAATTCATGCTGTCGGTCGGCCATTGTAGTCACGAACCAACACTCTCTGGCCTTCGCTAAATCAGCACGGTTGCGCCATGCTGCCGATTGAATTGTCCATTCTCCTTTATTTGTGTATGTGCAATTCATGGTTGCGTGTCCTGGAATTCATGTAGGCTGTCGGCCATTGTAGTCACGAACCAACACTCTCTGGCCTTCGCTAAATCAGCACGGTTGCGCCATGCTGCCGATTGAATTGGTTCTCCATTCTCCTGTTGTGATGACACAATAGCCTTTTAAGATAGTCAGATAGTGTTATGTGGTGTTCGAAGCTTACCTCGGAGCAGTCCCTCTGCTGGTGACATTCCGTCAGGCGAACTGGGGTTTTGCGTCGCTCGACAAACAGGAACCTTTGAAAAATCCTCCCCATCGGTCACTCCCCCAGGTCACTCCTGAGGTTCACGCTTCAGGGTGTCAATGAAGCGCTCCTCCTCGCCGTTCGACTGTGGACCAAACGGTGGCGAGCGGATATGGGTTGTACCGTATTCTCGACAAAATTCTGCGAACGCTGATGACGTGAACTAAATGCCGATGTCATATACAACGACCTCTGGCCTTCCAAAGCGACTGAACAATCGTCGGAATTCCAGGACTGTAGTGGCAGCTGTTGGGCTGTTTACTGGAAGAACTCCCGGCCACTTGCTGTAAGCATCGATGACGACCAAAATGTTGGCCAGCCACAAGACCGGCATAGTCGATTTGAAGACGGGACAAGGTTTTGGTCGGCTGCAGACACGACCGTAGGTAAGTTTTCATCCGTCACTTGGATGCTTCAAAACCACAGGAAATATTTGGAGACTTGCTCAATCTGGGAGTCAATCAAAAGTCAGTAGACATAACTCCAAGCAAAAGGTCTTCATTCTGTTGTTTTCCGAGGGCCCTTTATTAAACCAATTCAGTACTGCTGGTTGTAACTCCTTTGGAATTAAAACGCGTTCTGAAAATAAAGGCAGCCATCGGCTAGTCATAATGCGTCACGCCTGTCAAAGTAACATGTCAATTCGGCTTTTGGCAGGCAGGCGGCCATTGATTGCAGTGGTATTTGATGACCTGCTGCAACACGCGGTCTTAGTCAGTAGCCTGGTGGACGACGTCAACGGTCACTGGAAGAATAAGAACTGCGTGGTTTACCTGCGATTCCAGGGCAATTACTGCGGCTACAGTGTTCTTTGTTTTTGGCCTGCTTGAATCAATCAAACGAGATAGTGCATCGGCTTTCCAAATGCTTACGTTGGACCGGTACGTGATCATAAAGTCGTATCCCAGAAGCAAAGTAGCCCATCACTGTAGATGGTTGGCGGTATACATCGGAGTCCCCTTTTTCGAGTCCGGAACGGTTTGTGACCAGTTAGTAAACTGACGGCCATTTTATGGAACTTTTTGATGGTGAAGACGATCGCCCAGGCTTCTTTTTCTATCTAACTGTAGGTGTGCTCGGCTGGGGTCATGGATCTGGCCGAATGTGCAATGGCTTTCTGAGTGTTGTCGAGGAATAACGGGAACCCACTACGCCAACGCCATAGTTCGAAGCATCCGACGCCACAACGATCTCAAGTGAAAAATCGTAGAAGGTGGGAAGCAAATCGGGACTCACTATGGCGTACTGGAATTCTTTCGACCATGTCCACTTGTGGCTCTTGGTGAGCAGCCGATTTAGTGGGCATCGGAGGCGAGGCAAGGCAGTCAGAAACGGGTTATAGCCATTAGGTCATTAGGTAACACAGCGAACGGGTACCTATTGCAGTTGTACAGTTGAGGTAAGAGTGACCACTACTACCACTCTTGGGGATTATTCTCACTCGGAACTGTTCTCTGATCGAGCTAAGGCAGTAAATCGTCATCTAAATCATGGAACACCATACATCCCGTGGGGAAAAACATTTGCAACATTGAACTTATGATTATGATTTACATGAACACACACCATTGTGACTGAGAGCTCTGCTATTGTTCTGTTTTTCAACCGTTACCTGAGTACATGGGCAGGTTGGTACCGGTAATCAACAAGGTATAAACTACAAATGGGACAGGAAAGAAAATCCGAGTAAGGGTGGCCGAGTGAAGACAACATCTTCATCGGTTTCGTGACTGAACCACATCAATGGGTGTCGTCAAACACCGGTTGAACAGTTCCTTAATCACCAGCAATGCGCATATCACGCATCACGAATCTCTTAGGATATTCGAACTAACGACCTCCAAGCTAGTAGCTGTTGACTAAGTAGTTCGGTTATCAGAGACTGATCAATAATATGATCACCTCACACAGACAGATTACACGCCACGCGCATCAATCACGGATTTCACACCACGTTATTACGTATTGACTGGTTCCTGGAATGGTGACCTCTAAGATGGATGAATGCCAATATGTTCTATTTAAATACGAGTTAACCACAGTGTTGGTCAGCCACTCGTGACTGGATAGTTTATTCTTCAATCACTAACCAGGAGATAGCAGATTTGAATCTCTCCGGAGATTCGTCAGATGTATATGTGCGATTCATGGTTGACTATCAGGCTTTTGGCACAGACTGGGTGCATTTATGGAATGAATTCTAGATTGCGGTTGCATCAACCTGTCAACCAATGGTTCACTAGGTGACCTGCCAAATAACATAAAACACACTTCGACTGCAATGCTCCCAAATCACATATGCAATGTCCCGTAGATACCGATGGTCAGAAGTAAGTAGTTTTCTTCTGTATCCCGAACAAAGTAGTTAAGTTTCACATCCATTCAACGGAATCGGGTTACACTGTGGCATTCTACACTCTGTCCTTCATTGACAGTCTGATGTTATGCAGGATCCACAGATGACTGAGTTGAAGGAAGGCCGTATAGATCTTTTCTATTATTACACTGACGGTGGAAGTGATGACCTACTCAGATAACCATGTTTGCTCACTGATTTCAATAGTTAGGCTACAAAAACTTGATCGGGTGATGTGTTCGTCCAAAACTCGAAGCTGTTTCCACTTCTAGGGTGGAAAGCGCATCCCGACACAGCGGTTGGGCTAACTAAACCAATGTTTTATGTGTTTGGGTACATCCCTAATCACATAGCACATCATCCGAGTACTCGAAGTCAAGTGATCTCATCCATGACGTAGCTACACTCTAGATGAAGTAGCTAGTTTCACCTACTTCTGTATAGTAATCTCGATTGCAAAGCTAAAGAAACGGGGAGGGGGTAGTCTTGTTGGGCACCACTTCTGACAGTCAACTGAAGGGAAGAACCTTCACAGATATTTACACGTCCGATGGGCGGCCGAAGACAGCGTCGCGCCAGGAGCCTTAGAACAAAGTGGAAAAAACACTGACATTGTTGGGACAAGAGTTCGAATAAGTTTCTCCATATCAATGTGAACATTTTACGGACTAACATATCCGCGACGTTCCATGGAACAGTATCAACCCAAAGGGCCGATGTCATCCAGAAGTAAACTAGCACGAAATAGTCTAAAATAAATAGGCCGACTCGGTTCACAGGTATGAGAGTATTCGCTAAGTAGTTGAACTCTACATTTTACAGTGGGCAGGATAAAGACATGTGCTATGCAATACATACGTACGTGTAAATCGCCATTGTAGTGACATTATAACACTCTTTGGGTCTCCTTAACAAATATGGTCTTGTAGTCAAGCAAAAAGCCCATGCGTTCAAGGCAACAACAAAGTGGGCGTTTCAGGCAGCCATAAACTAACGCGAGGTTGATTTACTAGCAAAAAACTGCCAGAGAAGTCAAGAACTGCGTCCATGTCTGCCTAGGTCTGTATAAAATCACTAAGATAATATATGTGAAACTGTATAATGTGGATAATCATAAAAATTGATGTCTGAACCTGATTGGCAAGTGCTGTCGGCGAAGGTAACGTTGAAAATAATCCGTGTTTGTGCCTCAGGAGTGAGGAGGTGGCACCTGATTGACCGACGACACATCAGCTCCATTGTTACAAATGAAGTGCATTTGGCCCTTCGAGCGGTAGTGGCGATCCTTTGAAGAATCCAGTGCATTGTGCGATTCGCTTGAATGCAATATTGGGAGGGCGTGGGTATGCAAAGAGAATTTTACCGACCCACACTGGAGAGGCATCAAGTTGGCTGTTCAACCTGACGGTATCAGACCAGATTTGTACATGAATGGAACCTGTGGCAGTCGGAGGTCCGTTCTGCACGGTTGAATCGGCCACATCAGATCCTCTCCAAGGCAAGCTAAGAAATCAATTTTGCGTGGACGCAGGAAACGACAAAATTCGTCCACTTCCACGTGGAGGTAAGCCGAGGACGTAACTTCATGTGTCTGCCAGATTACGGTGGACCGATTATAAGTCTCACCCCACAACACTGTTTAGGAAGCTGCGTTACGCCGGCATGGTCCGCTGATCACCGAGTGTCCAATGCTAGTATTATGAGCCAGTGCTTGTCATTTCCATGGTAATGGGACACAAAATAAAATAAAAATGTCCCACTACGGTACCCGTTTGCTGCTGCCATGTAATTCGAAGAAATCCTGGCATAGTGCCGGGATGTCCAGAAATCGGAAATTGAAAACCCAGGGCTAGGTTCGCACCGCGGAAATTCTGGTCATACTTTCACATTTTAGTAGCTGAGGTATCTCCAGCTCGGCGCCTGCAACTACTATCCCGACGGTTCCCTTGTGACGAGATGATAAACTGCCGGCTGAGAAGAGGTCGCTCAGCTGTAACACCCATTCAGTGCCTAACTGCCATGCTACCCAAAGAAAGCCCGAGGGCTGGGATACTGACAGGCTACCAAAGCCCAGACAGCGGAAGTCGAGAGGCAAAGGTCAGGTTCGAACCGCGGATCTTCTGGTCAGTAAATTTGCGCTTTAACCACTGAGCCATCTCGCCCCCAGCCAGCTGAGAAGAGGAAAGAACAACACCATCATCATCAGAGGCAATAACATCAATGCTGACACTAATGTTCACTATCTTACATGAGCAAAGATATTTAACATACACGGCGGTGAGGAACTGTCATGACTATATAACCCAT